AATTATTAGATGGACAGATGGATAACTAGGTGATAAAGCAAATACAGTAAAACATTAGCTGCAGAATCTAGGTGGTAGGCACATGAATACTTAACTACAAAATTCTTTCAACTACTTCTATATGTTTAAGAGGTTATTTTTAAAATGTTAGGGAAGAAAAATCTTTGTAACAGAGGTAAGTTCACACATAATTTTAAAACACAAAAGACCTACTAAAAGGTATAATTCTATTTAGTTAAATTGTTTGGGCTGACAAGAGTGGATTTTATTTTCATTTATTCTTTATTTTTCTTTCTGCTATTTACAAAGCAATTGAAACTAAATAATATATTCAAATTATAACTACTTTAACACAATTAAATGAATCAAAAAAAAAAGGAATAGTAGGGGGGAAATTACACAAAGAAAAACTGAGTGCTAGTCTTTACTCTGCCATAAATAGCTTTAATACCTTAATTAAGTCATTAAGTTCTCCCTGGACCTCAGTTTCACTACCTCTAAATTGAAGAGGTAGAAAAAAGAGTTCTTCAAATATCTTCTATCTTTAAAATCCTAGGACTTACTCCTTCAAAAGATGAAAGGATAAAAACCAATGACATACAGACAAGTTTCTTGTTATTAGGTTAATATAGCTTCTAAACTAAACTGACTTAATAACCTTTATACCTTTCAAAGTTCTAACTAAAAATGTTAAAAACTCAGAACATTAAAAAATACGTATGTTTGTATACCTATTTATATACATTTTAATGATCAAATAAAACATCTTTTGTAAGGCCAACTATTAAACTTCTTAGAAGAAAAACAGGAGAAAACTATTAAATATAAGCATGCCAATCGATCAGTAAATTTTAATGTCTCAAAAGAAAATTAAATAATTAGAAAATCATGTTAAAAAAGTTTTTCCATAGTAGAGATTAACAACATTTTTCAAGAATATATATTTTGCTTCAGGAGATTCCAAAATTAAAGAAATTTGGCCAAAATTAAAATTATCAAATTGTAAGACTGAAAAAAAATCTTACAGACTATTATATTCAGGTAGATCATGCCGTAAGCAAATTGCTTTCAGCTTCTCCACTTCAATTTTTGCTCTTAGTAGCTCTTCCTCTAGTTGCTGCCTTCTTTTCAATCCATCCCTCTTCTCCTGAACATACAATCCGAAGTTTTTTTGATTTTCTAAAATTATCTGATGCTCCTCTTTCAACATTTGCAGGATTTGAGGATCATACCCTAATAGTGACCTAAAGTGTTCTCCATTCTCATGGCGAAAAAAATCATCTCTCCTTGGAATAGAAGATGGAGACGATGTCATTCTCACATCAACAGAGGAAAGTGAAGGCGACAAGGATCTTTCCATAACATGTACTAATTCATGTTCTTCTCTTTGCTCTAAAATATCACTCTGCTGAGAATTTAAAACCAGTGGAGGAGGTGGTTTAATGTCTTCTTCTTGCTTCACCTCCACTGTAATAGCAACAGGATGGTGATCCAACATTACCTGTAGTGAACTGGTACCAGCCTGTGCCTCCTCATCCAAGTTTGCACTATAGCACACAAAAAAGCATTATAAAATGTAAATCAAAGGACAAGAGTATATTTATAGCATAATTTCACATTTAATATATATTAAACTATAAAGCTTTTAAAACTATAAAGAAAGTCATGACACAAAAAAATGTTAACACTTGGAACAACAAATGAAAGTGACTAAAATTGGAATTTAAACAATATAGATATACAGGTCCCCCGGCCCACATCCTTAACTTTAAAATTGGGCTACTTTTTTTTTTTTTTTGAGACAGGATCTCACTCTGTAGGCCAGGCTAGAATACAGTGGTGGTGTGATCATAGTTCACTGCAGCCTCAGTCTTCTGGGCTCAAGCAATTCTCCCACCTTGGCCTCACAAAGTGATAGGATTAAAGACACAAGCCACCATGTCGGCCAAAACTGGGCTTTTAAAAGGGCAGGAAACTACAAATATTATACAAAGTCAATGAAATAAATAAAAAAGAAAAGCCATTTTTAATGCTCTCAAAGAGAAACCAATTGTCCCTACAACTCTGTGGTTCTCCAGTGGTGTAAAGAGCCATTTAATGCATTCTCAGCCTTGTTATATTCATACCTTAACCCTAGAACTCATTCTGCTCTCCTGGACTGATCTAAAAACCACCAAGTCCCATATCTTCTAGAAGGACAGTGGAAGGCCATCTATGGGAGGTACTGATTTCTGCATTTGCCCAACAACTAAAAACAGATTATGTATGGCTTTGGGGGTTACCCAACTATAGGGTATTATTCTAACTATCCTATTTCAAATACAATGGCATCTCCTCTTTACACCTATCCTGAACCACAGGACTCAGTTGCTCTCTTTATAAGTCTTTCAACCATTGGTAAGGTAAATTTCACAAAAGCAAGGGTTTTTCTCTACCACTATATACCTAGTACCTAGCATAATTTTGTACCAGAAACCTACGAGGTGTGTATTATATGTTGAATGATTACATATGAACAAATGACATGCTTTTTTAATGAAATGTTTTTAACTGGCCTATAGATATATTGAAGATTTATCAAATCTACACATAATTTCCATAAGATATGGATTCTTAGTAGAGACAACTACAATTTTAGCATAATTTAAACCTTGAAATAGCATTTGTTAAGACATTATAAATGCAACACACCCAAAAATTCTGTTTCAAAAATAATTTCTTATATACTATCAAGCTGTTTTTTAAAAATAATTTCATGTATAATATGAAGAATATATACTCTTGTTTCTTGAGTATTTTTTAAAAATTATACTTCTAACATAAAAATAAAAGGTTTAGAGGGGAAAGATTATTGGAACATTAATGGAAGTATTTAGCATTATTTAGGGAACATTTTACAAATGATAAGTAAGATAGTTTAAAAAAATACATTCTATATAGATGATTAAAATGCTGGAACAAGTTCAAATAGAACGTACGGAAAAAAATTAAAACTCTCCTTATGCCACTTACTAATGACATTAAATTGCCAGAAATAGCAGATATTTATTTCAGAGATAAAATGAAACTAATAGATATATTATATATAATAAAATTTTATTTATGAATTATATAAATTCCTTCATTTTTGTTGTCTTTTTTTGTCATTTTATGATTTCCAAAAATAAAACAATGGATTATAAATGTAATTCAAATTAGCAAGATCTGCTTCTATTAATATCTCTGCTAAAACATTCAATGGAAAAGGTTAGTAATACATATGAAAATTAAGTTTTTAAAAATCCACTCGATTACTATTCAAAATTAGTATGTATAATAGAATATAAACATAGATGTTATATTCTCAAGTAAATTAAAAATATGCCTTATATCTGGACTATTCCATTATATTTTAGTTAAAACATTTCAAGCAAAGCATAACAAAATTTTTTAAAAGTAAGCTTTAGAGATCACAAAAATGATCAATAGAGAAAGACTGCTAAAATTTATAAGTCTGAACTTTGAGGATCAAACAGTTTACAAAAACAAAACATGTATCTTCTTAGCCTTGCCCTTGCCAAAAAAAAAAAAAAAAACCCACAAAGTATAATCTGATATTAGAGAGAGGTAAAAATAAAGAGATACAAATTCAAATGTGAGTGTATCAGAAATAACGCAGCTTTCACAAATATAGGTATATATTTTTTAAATATGTTAAATAATACCAATAGTAACTATTTTCCTTCTTAAGGGAGAGTTTGCTGAGATTGAGCAGGCATGTTATTTAGAGCATAATAAAAAATAGGAAAAATTAATAAACTTTTGAAGATCATTAAGATAAGATGATACCGATTTCAATAAGTAGACAGCACACTGTCAAATATCCCCATAAATATCATTGGAAGCGACATAAAATAATAAATATATGAAAATGGTCAGTAATAAACACGACTAACATAAGATTTAAATGGCATGTTTCGTTACATTCTTCCCTTAAAATCTAAAAATTGGATTATTTAAAAAGTAGGTATAGAAGGCATCAAATCAAGCTACGTAATGTTTTTTTATTCGGGAAAAATGTGGTGTCCAAAAGACTTTGATGAAAAACGTAT